GAACTTAGAATCAGAATCAGAATTAGATTTATTCGCCAAGTGTGTGCAAACACACAAGGAATTTGTTGTTTTTTTAGGAGCTCTTACTTACATACATACATACATACAGTACATGACATTAGAACAGAAAGAACAATTAAATAAGACAAAAAATAAAAACAAAACATAATAATAATAATGTGGTAAAATCTGGAACAGAAGATTTATGTACAGATTTGTGCATTATTATACAGTTGTATAAATAAAAATATGTATATGTATTTACATAATACTTGTAATGGAGAAATGAATTACAGAAAACAGGTCATCATTTCTGTGTTAGCTGTTTAAGATGGCGATGGCATGGGGGAAAAACTGTTTTTATGCCTAGATGTTCTAGTGCTCAGAGATCTGTAACGTCTGCCTGAGGGGAGAAGTGCAAACAGGTTGTGGCTGGGGTGAGAGGGGTCTGTGATGATGTTGCCTGCCCGTTTCTTCACTCTGGAGATGTACAAGTCCTGAAGGTTGTGCAGGAGTCAAAGTGGATTTTGAACGCAACTTCCAAAAACCATTGTCGCATGATTATTGTCAGTTCAACTGAGTCGCTCTCTTTCTGTGCATCATTTGTTTAAAGTTATTTCTGTCATGACAACTCTCAGAGAGTTTAGCATGGTAATGTGCATGGCAATGTTAATGTGTTTGGTCTTGGCGGAATAGATCTGCTACACTAATGCTGCGGCAGAGCACGTACCGAGACTTGCTACTGTCAATACATCCACAGACGTGCTGCAGTGAGCATGTGAGAAATACTGCTGCTGCACATATATATAAAATAGCCCCTATATATAACATACATGAAATCACCCTGTAGCAGATCTATACAGGTGGAGCTCGGGAAGGTGGAGGGTTTCTGAAGCGCGCTGCAACTGCTACTGCAAACACTAGCCAAGTATTTGAAAGCAGCAAGTTCATTGGATGCTGATGTGAAAAGAAACCAGTCAGCTGTGCCATGTGAATAATAATGTGATTATATGAGATTGAGTTAGAACCTGTTGGCCTGCGCCATCTAGAGTTTCATGACAGAACTTTGTATTTCTTAAAACATTCTTAAATCTACCCACCATCTCACCTCCCATACCCTGAATTGCTTTTTTCCCATTGGAATCCAAAAGTTATTACCAAAATATGCTGTTATATTTGATAAATATTTGAAATAATATTTTTAAAAACTGTATGTTTTTTTGTATTTATTTGTTATATTATTAATAATATAATATAAAATATTTTGATATACTGTTATTTGTTTGGTATTATTAAAAAGTTAAATGAATAAAGTTATATTCATCATTTTGATTCAAATAAATTTTAATTTATTTTTTATTTGGTATCTCTCTCTGTCTCTATTTCTGTCATGTACATATTATATAAATATATTTTGATATAATATGGCTAATTTAAATAAAATATTAAAATAAAATTAAAAATGAAATAATTAAAATAAAATAAATTAATAAAGTATTTTTTAATGTTTTTTTTTTTTGTGACCATGTGACCAAACAAACATTATACAATACACAATTTTAGGTGAGGTTTTGACTAACATAGCTTTCATGAGGACTATTAAGTGAAAAAATGTTAACTGAATCTCCGATCTTGTCTATGGCAGTAAGTAAAAAAATAGGTGCAGCATTTTTGTCAGCAAAAATAGTGCCTCAAAAGTAATTGTTTCAGATCATGAATTTCTTACTGAAAGTCTTTGAGAGTGAGTGATGGCCTGAGCGTCAGGAAGATGTCAGCAGTACTCAACAAATGTGAACTGATTGATGGGACTTCCTGTGATTAACCCTCAAGAGGATGTGATATTTGATGTGTTTGTTTGCTTGTTTTCAACGCAGCCTTGCTAAAGCTGTGCACCGTCTGCTCAGTGCATTACAGGCTGCAGCAGGAAGTGAAGGACAGCTAGAGAAGCAGCTGGTCACAGGCCTGGACTGTGCATGTTCCCCAGGCCTGTGATCTCATTCACACGATGCTCGTCCCTTGACGTGGCCAAACAGCATCTGACTTTTCGCTCATCACTAAATCAAGCTGATGATCAGGTGCAAGTCCAAACAGCTCACATCATACAGTCATTTTATAAAGTTGTATCCACTCAAGCTTGACTTTATGTGTTTTTGTGTATTTGCAGAGCTGCTTTATGGGGTACAACGAGAGCAGACAGCCATTCAGTGGACAAAACAACATTAGAACTGATGGGGTTCCCAACAAAATGGGGTTCCCAAGGGGTTTTAAATTGGGGTCTGAAGAAAAGCGTAAGTAAATAAATAAATTAACGTAATTTTAAAAAGAATATAATAAATAATAGTAAAATGTAAAAAAATTCCGAATTTTATAATTGTATATATTATTATGGTTTTATTCAGCTTTTTATGGATTGATCGAACATCACAGATTAATCACAAAACATTTTATTCCACAGTTTTATGTTTTTATTTTTATGCATCTAAACAGTATTCTAATGGTGGGGTAGAAAAAAGATACAATTTCAACTTAATAGAAATAATTTAATGTTAATTTTATTTAGATGTATTCATTTATTCTTATATTTACTTTTCATGTGTTTTTCATGTCGTTTCTTATTATTTGTTTAAATATTTATGTAAATTGTTTTTACATGAAAATATATAATCCTGAGTTTATATTTTAGGAAGGGGGCCCCTCACAAGGGGATGAAAGTATGAAAAGCCCTTGCTGTATCCCAGTATATCAGTATGCCTGACATGATTATCAATTTCCATTTAAACAGACTGCCAAGCAGGGTTATTATAATTAACTAAAACTAAAACTGTTACTAAAATGATAACTATAAAAAAAAAAAACATTTTTGTTACTTGAAATAAAATAAACATTAACTGAAATAAAATGAAAAAATATATATTGATAAAATATTTGTAAAATATTATTTCAGCTAGTTGCCAAGGCAACATTTCACATTTTAATTTAGTTTAACTTGATGTACTAAATTAACAAAAACTAAAAATGCATAAAAATATATAGACGTATAAAATGACAAAAATCACTAAAAATGTCAATCTCAATAATACTAAAATAACACTGCAAAAACTAAGACATTTTAACAACAAAATGCATTTTTTAATTTTTAATCTGAGATAACTAAATACTGAATTAATCATGCAATGTGATGGTCATGTGACAACAATATAGCGTATTTAAACAGTATTCTAATGGTGGGGTAGAAAAAAGATACAATTTCAACTTAATAGAAATAATTTAATGTTAATTTTATTTAGATGTATTCATTTATTCTTATATTTACTTTTCATGTGTTTTTCATGTCGTTTCTTATTATTTGTTTAAATATTTATGTAAATTGTTTTTACATGAAAATATATAATCCTGAGTTTATATTTTAGGAAGGGGGCCCCTCACAAGGGGATGAAAGTATGAAAAGCCCTTGCTGTATCCCAGTATATCAGTATGCCTGACATGATTATCAATTTCCATTTAAACAGACTGCCAAGCAGGGTTATTATAATTAACTAAAACTAAAACTGTTACTAAAATGATAACTATAAAAAAAAAAAACATTTTTGTTACTTGAAATAAAATAAACATTAACTGAAATAAAATGAAAAAATATATATTGATAAAATATTTGTAAAATATTATTTCAGCTAGTTGCCAAGGCAACATTTCACATTTTAATTTAGTTTAACTTGATGTACTAAATTAACAAAAACTAAAAATGCATAAAAATATATAGACATGTATAAAATGACAAAAATCACTAAAAATGTCAAAATCTCAATAATACTAAAATAACACTGCAAAAATTAAGACATTTTAAAAACAAAATGCATTTTTTTATTTTTAATCTGAGATAACTAAATACTGAATTAATCATGCAATGTGATGAGGTCATGTGACAACAATATAGCGTATTGTTGTTAAATGTTTATCACTGCTTAATGCATTTCAGTTTCAGATACAATTTTGTTTTTTAAAAAGAATAAACTGGAGCTTCGTAAGTAAGTAAATTGTAGTTATATAGCACATTTCAACATAGCAAAGCTATCCAAAGTGCTTAACAATGTAAAATAAAATTAAAAGAGAAAAAGAAACAGAAAAGAATAAAAAAAAAAAAAAAGACAGGCAATAATTCGTGTTCATTTTCTTGATCTATTTGAGCTTTTGTGTGTGTGGGTGGGTGGGTGTGTGTGTTATTTCTTTTTTTTGTCAGAACTGACAGTGAAGCGTTAGCTGTGGTCTGGCCCAACTAAACTAGCCGATCTCTGTGCATAAACATTTCAACCCCTGATGCCGTTTTATTTATCGCAGCGCACTTCCACATCCTCAGCGAATGGGCGGCATGTTGCTTTGATAAAAGCGAGTGGGGTGAGGAGGAGGTGTAGGTTGGGTGTGCTTTGCATGCAACAGGCCGCTCCACACTGTTATTCTTCTCTCAGTGTTTGATGGGTGGGAGGTTTGCCAGAGAGCTCGTGTGTGTGTGTTTATAGTGTCAAATGCGTACCACATGTAGGCTCAGGTCTGGTTCGGCCCCATCTCTCTCTCTCAGAGAGCATCCTGATGGCAGACAGGAGTAATCAGCCTGTCTTCCTCCTCCTCTGCAGTGTGGTGCACCTGCTTTATGATGCTCAAGTACTTTTACAGACCATTTCCAACTGGTTTTCATTCATTTGTTCAGTATGGATTTATTTTGACACACAAAAGCTAAGTGGACAGCCCTTAGCCAGAGAGCGAGTAGGGTGAATCCCAATGTGATTTATATGGACAGGCTGTAGGGAAATTCATGCATCACGCGTTTGGTGGTGGTAGTGCTATTTTAAGGTAAAGTGGGCTTGTGTACAGGAACGTCAGTTGTGTACAGCAGCTGTCCTACCTAAAAACGAAATAATATGCCATAGAATTAACATTTTTTAAAGGAATAATTCATCTAAAAATGAAAATTCTGTCATTATTTACTCTCCCTCATGTTGTTTTAAACCTATATACTGTTATTAAACACTAGTTCATTCAGTCAGGGTTACTTTATATAATTTTTACTACAAATTATATTAAATTATACTATTTATACGTTTTTAAGTATACTTACATTAATTTATTATCAACTTGAATGCACAAGTGAGTAACCAGATGTTTTAATGTTTTAGAAATTCCCCAGATCATTTTAATGTATCGTTCAAAAGTCAGTACTATTTGTTTTCTAAAAGAAATTATTACTTTTAGTCCACAAGGATGCATTAAATTGATCAAAGGTGACAGTAAAGACATTTATAATATTTCAAAAGATTTCTGTTTCAAATAATCTGACGACTTTTGAAATTTCTATACATCAAAGAATCCTGAAATTTTTTTAGCATGGTTTCCATAAAAAAAAATATTTTTACAACATTGATAATAATAAGAATGTTTCTTGAGCAGCAAATCAGAATATTAGAATGATTTCTGAAGGATCACGTGACACTGAAGACTGGAGTAATGATGCTGAAAATACAGCTTTGCATCACAGGAATAAATTACATTATAAAATATATTCACGTTATTTAAAATTGTAATAATATATCACAATTTTACTGTTTTACTTGGTCAAATAAATGCAGCCTTGATGAACATAAGAGACTTCCTTTAACGGGGATAATACTTTAGTTCATTTTAGGTTTTGAAGCCACAAATAAGCCACTCTTCTGTAGAATTTTCCAAGTTTTAAATTCTCAGTGTTTACACAGACTTCCCAATTCAAGAGATCATCATTTTACCATAATGGAACAATTGCTGCTACTGCTGCTTCTTTTTTTCCTTTCAGTTTCATCAGGAGAATCATGAGGCAAGATTTGGCTTTAATTATTAGATTTTTTTTATTTATTCATATATCAGCATCTGCTAAATCAGACTGTTCTTCAAATAGAATCTTTCAGGGTATCTTGAAAGTAGATGGTTAAGATTACAGCTGATTTATTTACAGTTTACCTGCTGATATGGTCAGGAAGAAATTAAATGTATTTAATTTCATGTTGCATAATATTGAATGACATCATTTGAACTTGTCATACTTTGACTTTATTGAACTGACGTCGCTGCTTATGTACCGCTGAGCGTAGAACTACACTGTTTAAGATAGTACCTGCTTAAACTTTTATTTACATCCTGCCAAAAAAAAAAAAACACTGAAGTGCTTTACCTCCAGTTTTAAAACTCTTCCATTTGAGTCACTGGAGAATGTGGCGTACTGACAGTATCATAAAGCACCGCTTCATCAAAGCCTGGAAGCCCAGCAGGCCATGATAAAAGCATCGTCTCATGGCATTTTGTCTTTTTCTGACTTCATAGCTCTCCCGGTGTAGTCGGTGGAAACCAAAGACGAGCGATCGTGGCCTTGGCTCATTCCCAGACGCAATGTGCAACATGCTCCCATTTACCCTTCTCCAACAGTCTGGACGCCAGCCGGACACAAAGGGCAGATGTTGTGATGCGGTGTGTTTCTTTGGTAAGGTTTATTTTCTCGGTCTGTGTATACATGCAGTTTGTTTATTTACTTCTTTAGTCTGTACAGTGTCCACCGGAGGCTCACTTCCGTTGAGAAATGATTTTGTTTACAGGGCAATTTTGAAGTAAACACACATGCACAGGCAAACACGCTGCTCTCTGTGATGGCAAACCACTTCCTAAAATGTGACCGATTACAGAAAGGCCTGACATGTGTCAAACAGGGGCATGAACTGAACATCAGCTAGGCTTTTTTCTTTTTTTAATGAAGTGTTTTCCAACCTTTTGGTCTTATGTACACCCACAGATCCATCAGCGTGGCTCAAGTACAAATTCATCATTGATAAACCTGAAATGTGTTCCTTTTTATTAACTCAGTGTTATTTCTTCAAAAGGAGCAATGTTGAAGTGTTACAAAAAGTGTTTAATTGCAAACAAGTTCATTTATATAATGCACATTGTTTCAAAGCATCTTTACAGAAAATCATGATGAAAATGTTTATATTATCTTAATATATTTTTATAGCTTATAGTTACATTTAACTGACTAGAGCTGGGTGATCAAATAGTTTACCTTTTGCGACCATACAAGCAATCAGTATATATAGTATATATTGCCTTACACGAGTATATGTGGATAAAGATGGACATATGCAACTTTACATAAAGAGCTGGGCAATATTATAGTTACATACTGCGACAGAATAAAAAAAATCAGGCAGTTGAGAGTTGCTATATAGTGTATACTGTATATAGCTTTAGATGAGTGTAACGTATGTATGAGAAAAATAGTTTTTATGTGGGTTAATAAACCAAAATCTTAATCTTTCCAAGTATGTCCAGGTGTATGCATACCATTGGTTGGTACCATCACTTTTTTATTGAACAGACTAAATCAATTGAATAATGAAGCTATTATGGGTTTAAAGTCTAACCATAGTCACATGAAAGTCTGCACCATGACGTTTATTTGCATCAAAATCTATTCTGATATCTATTCAGAATCTATTCTATATTTATTTATTTATTTATTTATTTATTTATTTATTTAATAAAAATATACAAATATTGTTATTGATAAATGTATGTATTTTTACACCTTTACAAATTAAATTTTGGGAAATAATAAAAAAAAATGTATACATTATTCTTTTTATTTATAGCACAGTAGAGAAGAAAAGGGTCCAAAAATAAATAAATAAATTACTGTAATTCATTCATTAGATGTTGCAACCCAGGATCATATGTTTGACATATGAGCATCATCATGATTAATTGTGTGCACTAACTTCTGGGCTGCTAATTTTATCGTAGAAAGCCCAAGACAGGATGGATTTTATTTGTGATTCAGTTGAAAACCATGAACAATTTTTATTTTAAGTGCATTACGTTTTAAGTTTTTATTTTTATTTTATGCATTTTATGGTTTTGAAAATCGTAACCTTTCCAAGTATGTTGGGAATCTAAACGGTTTTAATGTTTTTATGAATAATTATTTTAAATATAGTGCATGTAAATAATACAAAAATAATTATTTTATATATAAACATAGTGCCAGCATTAAAAAATATCACATTAATTTAGGTTTTTATATATATATATATATATATATATTTATCAGTCCAGTGTGGTGATCAGCTGCACCCCGGCCCACCGCATTGCCTCCTGCAGCGGAGTGAAAATGCTACACGCCCCGCTTCCCCCAACTCCTAATTCAAAGCACATTTCACCAAGTGCGACTTAGAGAGGGGATGTGGCTAAAACAAATAAAAGAATCATAAAGGAGGGATCAAAGCAGGCCTGCAAATCCATTCCTTCTGGGTAAAGAGCCTTTCATTAAAAAAAAAAAATCCCACATCCCGACTACATATCTCATGGAGCGGATCACTGGCAAACGCGTGCCTGCGCCGGATTGATGGAGCAGACTCTGTTGGCAGGCCTCGCCTCGCACCTCTGAGCTCTTTCCTACGGAGCGAACGTGCATGGGGCCGTTTTCATAACTCGCTGTTATCAAGCCTTTGGGGAAATACATATGCGTGTGTTTATACATGTATAGATTGGGGTCTCGAAGACAGATGTTGGCACGGACGTATAAACCATTATAAAGTGCAGGCCACCAGGAAGTCGGTAATGCTCTCAAGGCGTCGCAGCCTGGACAGGAACATTTGGTGACCATTGGGAAGATATCCTTCAACACAGCTGCGAAAGAGCGTGAGGGACTGACATAACCTGCTTCATTTAGCCTCACAGCTGAGCAGAAAGGCATTATCCTACTGAAGGGTGAGGTCTTTTCCATCACAAAGACATCCGCCACGCGTAGTCAGAGGATTCTGTGTAAATCTGGACCGGAGCTACACTTTGCACGCAGCGCATTCTTGTAGAGTGATGCATCTGTGCTCGTAATTCGCTTTCACAACAGATCATCTTTGTAAAAGAAGAAAAAGTGAAAATCCAACAGATTAAGCGAAGCTAGACACGGATAGTTTTAGATTTATTTAACACAGGATCAAAGATATCAGGTTTTTATTTTTTCGCATAAACCGCACGATGACTAACTTTCCCCAAAGAGGACAATGAATCTTCGATCCCTCTGTTCAACAAAAACACATTAACATAATGGGCAATACATATTCCAGAGTTGTCGTATCGTAAACTCGACTGATTGTTTGACTTCGTACGAGCTGAGAATTGACACGAGTTTATTTCCCAAGCCCTCGATTCCTGCCTAAACACAAAAGAGGCACTGTGCGACAGTTTCCACACACAAAGTCTTAGTAATTACCACAAAGGACATACGCGTGGGGTAAGTCAATAACTCATCCGGTAAACAAACTCTGATGTCGGTAAATGATCCAAAGACTTAGGATTTGGTGAAAAAAATAAAACTGGCGTTTGGTTTGTGGTTTGTCCCTGAGCACAACAGCGCTGTATGCTGATCCTCTGACCTGTTGTGACAGTATATGGTGAAAGAGGCATCAAAGCGGATGAGAAAAGCCAGGCGTTTCATTGTAAGAATGGGCCGGTAATGAAGATGGTCTATTGTCAGAGTGGTGTGGTTGATGCTAATATGCTTTGATCAGTGCTGCCACAATGTGATGATGGATCCTGGTTGTGCAGATCCTCCATTGACCAAACAGACAGAGTGCAGGGATTCAGAACAGGCTTCGTATTACAGCTAGAATACCTCACAGCCTGATTTTACACTACTCACTGAAGACTCTGAACTATGTATATTGCCTACTACTGTTTTTAAATGGTAAAAACAATAGGCATTATTATGCTAGTTTGCTGTATGCTACTTTGTTCTCACATGATCTCACTGTGACCTTATCATATTGCATGTACACTACAGGTCAGTATTATTAGTTTTTAAAAGAAACATTCTCTCATGCTCCCCAAGGATGCATTTATTTTGATCAAAAATACAGTAAAAAAAATTGTGAAAACTTTTCTGAAGGATCCACTGAATCCACTGATGTTTGAAAACTTATTTGAAAGTTATTCACACTAATTTTTTCTTTTTCTTTTTAGACTTTACATTTTAAATATATTTTTTAAAGACTACATTTAACTACCTTTAAAAAAAAAAAAAAAAAGAATTCACCTTTTCATCATTTCAGATTTGTCACTGACCCCCATATGGAGTGCTGAAAGGAGACGGTGTAATGAACACCAGCAGTACGATGGAAGAGGAAAAGCTGATCCTGCCCAGCCATGGCAGTGGCATAAAGCGTCAACCAGGTTTCCTGCTGAGTGGTGTCGTTACATAATAAAAGATACAGTGACCCCTGCAAACTTTGCTGTGCCGGGGCCCCCTTTGCGGCTATGGAGTTAACGTCCCAGCCTTGAAAAGAAATAGTTCTCAGCTATTAAAATACCTCTGAAAATGGGATGCTTATCAAATAATACGAACCAGATTGCCCCGTTTTCCTTCTAGCCTGGCAGGGACTGTATTTGAGAAGATATCTACACCTTTCATGTCGCTTTTGAAGTCTTTGACATTATATGGGCTTTGAGCGTCTGGGAATGTTGCGTGGTTATACAGACTCTGAGAAAGAGCGTTGGGTCGTTTCGGACCAAACCTTGTACGTGGTCCGAAAAGTTCATTGCGTTCTTCCACGATCAGCAAGGACAGTCTGCTATCCCATTTTTCCCAATTGCTGTGGGTGTTTGCCAAAGTCACGCTCTGGTGACACACAGCTGTCCTTCCAGGGATCATGGATGAGTCTTTTATAAAATGTTGCAGAATATCTTTGTAATTTTCCAGCATTAAAGGGTCCAGCTGATTTAACTGCAGGCAAAACTCTGAGACTCTACCAGGCGTTCGAATCTGCTCTGTCAAAGCCAGTTACCATCACAGGCAGGTCTGCTACTTCAGACAGATGTATTTCCATACAAGATCATTTCGGTTAAAAATACAGTCCTCAAAAGCAGCCCAGGACATGAGAGAGAGAGAGAGAGAGCAGCGTTTGGTGGATGTTTAGGGGAAGGGAGGGCAGGTGGAGGTCAATGCTTTTAATATTCTTCTGTATGTGGGTGAGGGCAGCCGAGCTCCCAGAAGACTCTCAAATGACAATTTCAGGTGGAGAGTGTGTTTTTGTCTTAAATGTGTGCCTTCTTTTCACCCGGACTGGCTGATTGCAGCAAAGCCTATGGTTCACATCAAAAACTTTTACCCTTGACAAGATACAAAGACTTTGATCCAACTCTGACTTAATGACAATGGATGGCATGATTGTAACGTAATGCTCCTGCACAGAGATGGAGAACCCGAGTGCAGCGGTTTTATATAACCAAACAACTGCTGAACACTAGGATAATCTAGCATAACTCAGAAACATAAACCAAGATACTATTACCATAGACATTGAAGTTAACCGTTACGGTTTACATTTAAGACCAGACAAAGAATAAAGACACTAGAACAAAAGCATATGTGGAGGAGATTTTCTAAATGTTTGGATGACTTGCACTATTACAAAGGCTTGTTTCTGGCATGGGGTAAAAAAAAAATTAAAAAGGTAATTAGGTCTTTTTATCTCACAATTCAGACTTTTTTCTCGCAATTCTGAGTTCATATCTCACAATTTGGATTTTTTTTCCTTGCAGTTCTGAGACAAAGTCAGAATTTTAAGATATAAACTCACAATTCTGAGAAGAAAATTTGGAATTGTGAGATGATAAAGTTGCAGTTACCTTTTTTTATTCTGTGATTGGGAGGTCTGAATTCTTGGACTATCCCTTTAGGATTGGACAGTGCTTTCCCACCTGCCTCTGTAAAGATTAAACTGACTTTTATGGTTGCTTAGAAATTGTTTTAACTTTGAGAAAAAAAAATAAGATGTTTGGAAATTAAATATTAAAAATAACATGTTTGTATGAACCCAAATATATATTTACCCATTCAGTGTGATCAAAGGCAGCCCAGGACAATCCAGACAAGAATATGAGACCGAGAACACCAGTAAAACACCTTAAAAAAGTGTTCACACAAAACTACCACAATCTCTTTCAGGCTCTAGGGAAGGTCACAGATTAAATATGTGTAAATATATGGTATATTTCTGAGATTTTTAATATTTTTCCAGTGTTTCAGGCTGACAGGCATTGAGATGCACTGACTCTCTGTGCAAGCTGGTGAAGAGGAATTCTTCATATGTTAATCAAGGTTGAGTAAACATTTCATGGCATGCATGTGCAGTATTGCCGTCTGTCTTTGACATTTAAGTCTGGCGGTCACAGTCATGCGTGCATTCTTTCGGCATGGCTCATATTCTTCGTGTCCAGTCCAAGAAGTCTTCCCTCGTGCTGCTTTTTCAGGAGGAAATTATTTTTCATTGCCCCCGAAAGAGCAATGCCTTGCCAAGCGGTGTTGCTCCACGTTGTGCTGGTGTGATGCCAAGTCCTCTCTCCTTCACTCCCTCAGGCACTCCAAAGGCTTCCTTTAACCCTGCCGAGACACAATAGAAGTGAGTAGTTCTGATCTTCAACAAGAATTAAAGCCTACCTCCACCCATAATATATGCAGTGTAATACAGCATAAATACTGGAGAAATAATAATATGAGTATGTTATTCCATTTTTTTTATGCTTACTAGTGGTGCAAAAAATTACACGCTTCTGATGTTATTTTGAATGCAGTTATTTCTTTTTAAAAGAGTTATATGATGCGATTTCAATTTTTCCTTTCTCTTTGGGATAAACAATAATGTACAGTATGTGGAAAATAATGTGTTTTTTGAACCTTAAAACTGCATAAACACATTTCATTACACCAAATGCACAAAATAATGTTCTTTTTAGCAGCATCATATGACCCCTTTAAAATGAAGCAGAGAAAATAGCAAGCCATTTTTAGATTTTGTGTATTTTTGAGAATTATAAAGTGCAATATTATCCATTTGTAGTTTGCTCTTGCGGTTTCTTCTCATGAGTTTGTTTTCTTAAATTGAATTATTATAGACTTCACATAAATGTCACTATTAAAGTAGGCTACTTTGACCAGTCAGCAGAGCATGTCTACAGCCAGCACAGGATTAGCATTTTATTACAATATCTCATCACACGTCGACACACAAGTTCACCTTCACTTACTGTACACCCTTCGCTGAAATTCATGCAGGTTTTTGGCAAGACGTAAACTCTTAGGCCTGCTGCCATGTAAAATCACCCGCAGATGTACAGAAAGTACTGGGATTCACTGTTGAGTTTCGCCTGTGCCCTTCGGGCGAATGGAAATGTGTGGAAGGTGACGGTTCGGTTTTATGTTTTCTATAACTAATCGGAAACTAACACAGCTTTGCAATTATTGGAATAGTTTCACCTAGGTCTATTGTTGCGCTATCAACTATTTCTGATTAAACTGCCTTTAAACAAAACACAAAAATGACTGTGGTTGATTGCTTTAGATGTCGATCAAACAGGCTTTTGCTGATTAAGTAGTTGTTTCTGGGACAGAATAAAAAAAATCTGTCAAAAATCTGAGTATGCAAGATTTGTGTCTGTTTAGCTGGCTCACACGCTGAGCATCATGTGAAATGACTCATTCTTTTTGATTCTTGTTTACCTTTTGCTATCTGTTTCTTATAATCGATTTACTTTTTTTGCAGTGGGATTAAAGCCTGTCAGTGTTGGCAACAATTGAAACACAGGAAAAGGAACACCTTCTGAACAGATTGTGAGTCGCAGAGCAGAAGACCTGATCATGTGTGAAGGTCTGTGTAGTGCATGAACAGAAGACCTTAAACCCTATAATAAGTTTGGCATGTTTTCACTGCTGACAGACTGCTTATGATTTAAATATAAAAACAAGTCCCGTGTCATCTAACGCTGGGTGTACACTGGGCGTTTTTATGATGATACTTGTCAAAATGTTCATGACTCTAGTGAGATCTTGAGTAAAAGTCAGATTGTGTAACATTAACTTTTATGGCAGAGTGTATGATGTAAGGCTTTCATGATTGACAGCACCGACTTGGCTTTCTGACGTCCTCTTTTTGACATGCAAAACTGAAATATAACAGCACAAACTCAGGCAAGCACTTGTGCTAATGTTGGAAATATTTTGAGTGTCTGGAGTCTGTCATGACTGGGTGAATAAGAGAGAATTCTACATTCTTCAGAGCAAATATGGAGTATATTTCATAAAAATCCATTCAATTTATGGTAAAAAGCTGTGGTTACTAGAATTTGACAAATTTATACAAACTTTTAAAAAAATGCAGTAGAATGTTTTTTAAGTTTTACAGATTGAACTTAAATTTACAGTAAAAAAAAGTTATTTCATTAAGTGAAATAATGTTCATATACCAAATTATTAAAATCTGTTTTCTAGAAGGTGTACAGGGTCATACATACAAATACGAAGCACCATCAACATGACATTAAAATAATGCAATTAATTAACAACATAAGATGTAACATAAAACCCTAATGTACATAAATGATAAGAAAAAAAAAACTAAGAAACATTTATTTCAATGAAAAACCATCAAATGTAAAGTGTAACAGTGAATTATGGGAATGTCAATTTACAGTTTTTTTTACTGTAAATGACAAGACATTGTTCTTTTTCACTTACAAAAATAAAACTGTATTTTACTGTAAAAGTGCATAAAATGTCCCATTAGATCTATTACAGTATTTCACATAAGGGAACTCACTGTTAATCAGCATTTTACAGTCTTTTACTGTTAAATTACGATCATTTTAGTGTACAATGGGAAAGTCCAACTAAATATTAAGACTTAACTGTTGTAGCAAAAGTTATCCTGCAAGACAATGAAACACTGTCAGGACTGAGTTTCATCATCATTAATTGAAGGCAATTAATCGGTGAGCATGTGAACCTTAAACAACCTTAAATTTGTCTCAGACGGCACAACTGCACCCAAAACCTGGCCTTAATTTGCTTGCTTCTGTGTAATGACTTGATCGTCCACTCTTGATTTCTCCTGCAGTGATCTAATGCTGCACAAAAACAGCAGCTCATTTTGTCATGCTTGAATTGTTTGTCGTAGACAACTTCTCACCAAGTTAAATTAAAGTCTTACCACAATAGACGTGACCTTTTCCCAGACCTTGAGGGTTGTGGTGATGAGCGATTATGGTTGTTTGGCTTCTGTTGAGGACGCTTCTTTGAGTAGGTCTTGCAGAAAGAGTCTGTGGAGACTGCAGCATATTCGAAGCAAAATGACTTGTCCTAACAACAATGCAAACTGTATGAGCATGCAAATTGTAGTCTGGTTTAACACTAAGAAGAGCAGGGCAATTTGAAATGAGCATATGATGATTATTATCATTTATTATTGTTCATGTGTAGGGGAGTGTGGGGTAAGCTGTGCCAGTGCCTCAGCTAATATGCTTCCAACAGGCCACAATCATGAAAAACTCAAAAATATTAGGGATTTTTACATTTGTCAAGGCCTAGAGAAGAAAT